TATCGTGCGCCGCGCCTTTCGAGTTTGGCGCACGGATCAAAAGCTCGCAGCGCGCGGGGATCCTTTCGTAGGGACGCTCCGCCGTGTCGCGTGCGGCCTTGCCGCCGGAACTGGCGCCGCAAAAATCGCGATTAGCGGGCAGGATCAACACATCTCAGGCGACGCTTCTCTGGTATCCGGTCTCTCATCTGGATAAATCGCGCACGCGGGTACGTTTAAACGTGCCGCCAGCGCAATGAGAACGTTGAACGTGGGGAGTGGCAGACGCAGAATTGATAAACAGCACACAGCCCTCCGTCGTTTCCTATTTGCACCAGTGCAAGCGTATGGCCCAGGCGTGGACTCTCGCACCGTATATAAGAAGGCGGTATAGCAAGGAGCAACCATCCCTGACATTTACGTAGACTTCACGTTTCACACATCCTCTCTACCTATACTGATCGTGCAACAGCGGCACAATCATCACCCGCACAAGCATATAAGTTTCACCGAGGAATTTCTAAAACACTTCAATCATGTGAGATTCGCTACTTCTGTCGATGTACTAGGTGGCCGGAGTTGTGTGTGGTTCTTGGGTATTAGTCGTCTTAGATTTGACCTCATAGTTACCTACTAGAAAGTTATCAGAGCATGGGAGGAGTGACGACTGTACAATTGAATTGAGCTAATATGCGTACACGTACCACGGCATACATAGGAAAATATTAAACCGTTATAATACCAAATTGTATAATCGCACTGCGAAGTGTTCATTCGGGTTCTGGAAGCAGCCAATGGAAAATGGTAGTTGCCAATTCAGTATTGTTCATTGATTTTGTTCAACGGGACAAATCATCACTATTTTGACACTAGTTCCTCGTACCATCGCAGGAGAGCAGCGAGAGAGATCCGTAGTGCGTTATGAGTCACTTCACTTTGAGTCTTCGAGGTCTTTCAGTTCACGAGGTGGCAAAAATCTCGCCCTCCTACAGTATCAGAAGTTATCAAGTAGTCCGTAGAGTATATAACTATATATACGTATATATTATATTATATAAATATCAGGAGTAGATAATAGGAAGGAGCTGTGACATTCAATGAAACAAGGGAACATTCGTGCATTTAACTAGCCTTAT